CTCTCCTCACAGGTGGCAGAGTGGGGAATTGAACTCTCAACCTCTGACTCCACAGCCAGATACCTTAACCACTCAGCTAATCACCCAGCTCCTTATTTATTTACTATTGCATTATGCCTTTTTTGAACAAAATGAAATAACTAGGGGGATCTGGACATCACAAGGACTAATTTTTCCCCCTCCAATCCTTTCCCCTTGAGCTCCAACACTAATGGAAGATCCCTCCTGCTGATGCTGCTATTTCTCCAGCAGCAAGACTCATGATGATGACTGTATTTGGAGCCCCTTAACTCCACAATAATGGCTCTGTTTGAATCAGGCTATGATCTCTTATCACTTGCTCTTGCTCACTGGGCTTCATATACATTGTAAGCCAAAAACTGGGGTGGCACAATTGTCCATCCTGATTTTTTTTAAAGGGATGCCATTAAAGGGATTTAATGTACCATCTAATTTAGAGGGAAACCCTACCTGAATATGTGGTGAGTAATCATACCAAACATAGTTTGATGGATCTCCTCAGTTTCTCCTTGTCATGTGATCCTAAATCAAGCCAAATCATACATTTACTTATAAAATAATCTTAAATATCAAAAATTGGATTGTTTATATAGCATCTACCTAACTAGCAGTGCTCTCAGATTTGTTGTTGTTACAGGCCATCAAGTCGCCTCTGTCCTATGGTGACCCTTTGAATGAATGATGTCCAAAATGTCCTGTCCTCAACAGTCCTGCTCAGGTCCTGTAAACTCAAGACTGTGTATTGCTTGACGGACTCAGTTCATCTCGTATTTGGTCTTCCTCTTTTCCTTCTGTCTTCATGTTTTCCTAGCATTATTGTCTTTTCCAGAGAATCTTGCCTTCTCATGATGTGCCCGAAGTACGAGCACCTTCAGTTTTATCATTTTTTCCTCCAGAGAAAGTTCAGGCTTGTTTTGAAATAGGAACCACTTGTTTATCTTTCTGGCAGTGCAAGGTATCCAAAAAGCTCTCCTCCAGCACCATATTTCAAATGAATCAATTTTTCCTGTCAGCTTTTTTTACTGTCCAACGTTCACACCTGTGCATAGTAATCAGGAATACAGTACTGTAGTGTGGATTGTCTTGGCCTCGGTCTCCAGTAATACATCTTTACACTTGATGATCTTTTCTGATTCCTTCATTGCTGCCCTTCTGATTCTTAATCTTTTTCTGATTTCTTGGCTGCATTCTCCATTTGGATTGATGACTGAACCAAGATGTACAAAATCTTTAACAATTTCAGTGTCTTCATTGACAACGTTAATACTGTAGTGTGGATTGTCTTGGCCTTGGTCTCCAGTAATACATCTTTACACTTGATGATCTTTTCTGATTCCTTCATTGCTGCCCTTCTGATTCTTAATCTTTTTCTGATTTCTTGGCTGCATTCTCCATTTGGATTGATGACTGAACCAAGATGTACAAAATCTTTAACAATTTCAGTGTCTTCATTGACAACGTTAAAGTTGTGTACTTCTTCTTTAGTGATTTTTGTCTTCTTAATTTTCACACAGTGAAATTTCATGGCGTCCTGCTTTGGCACTTTCTTCATCTTAGGATTCCTCCTCAAAGTGGTCTACAATCCTTTTATCTCTTCTGTATAGGTCTTCCGTATATTGTTTCCACCTTCTCGTTATTTGAATCTGGTCAGATAGTGTGCTTCTCTGCTGGCCATTCAACATTCCTAATCTAAGCTTTAATTTCCCTTTGATTTCTTGGATCTTCTGGAAGAGATCTCTTGTTTTTTCCTCTTTTGTTGTTCTCCTCTATTTCTTTGCACTGGCTATTGTAATAATTCTCTTTGTCTCTATATAATAGTTGCTGAAACACTGCATTCAGGATTCTGACCCTTTTTCTGTCACCTTTTACTTTTACTTCTCATCTGTCCTTTAAAATTGTGTTTCTTCTGTCATCCATCTAGATTTTTTGTTTTTGTTTTTCACTATAGGAATTGGGTTTTTTGCATTTTTCCCTAGTCATGCGAGTAACTCTGGTTTCATTCCATAGTTCTTCTGGTTCATGGTCAACTGAGTTTAGTAATACAAAA